TACACAGTAGTGAGACTCTGTTTCAAAAAAAAAAAAAAAGTTAGCATTGTCTAGAGTTGGGGGTGATTTGAGACAGGGTTTCTCTATGTAGCCTTGGCTGTCCTAGAACTCACTCTATAGACCAGGCTGGCCTCGAACTCACAGAAATCCACCTGACTCTGTCTCCCAAGTGTTAGGACGAAAATCATGCACCACAAACACCTGGCTTCATTTTTATATCTTTAAAACCTTTTAGATTCCATTTATTTATTTATTATGTGCATGTATCTGTGCATTCAAGTGAGAGTCAAAGGACAATTTGTGGGGGTTGGTAATCTCTTTCTACCATCTTCATCCCAGGGATAGAATTCAGGTTGTCAAATTTGGCAGTAAATGCCTGAGCCATCTCATTAGTCTTAATGTGTGTGTGTGTGTGTGTGTGTGTGTGTGTGTGTGTGTGTGAGAGAGAGAGAGAGAGAGAGAGAGAGAGAGAGAGAGAGAGAGAGAGAAACAGAGAGAGAAACAGAGAGAAAAACAGAGAGAAAGAGAAAGGATGACTTTCAGGATTGGTTCTTGCTTTCCATCGTGTCTTTGAGAGCTTATTTGTGCTGCTGCACTGTTCAGTCCAGGATAGCTGGTGAGTACAACTGCGAGTGTCTGACAGTCTCCCATCTCTGCTTCCCCTCTTGTAATAGGAGTGCTGGGCTTACAGATATGCACCACCATCTTCAGCCTTTCCATGGGCTCTGGGGGCTGAACTCAGGTGATGAGGTCTGCACAGAAAGCGCTTTACCCACTGAGCCTTCCCTTCGCATCTCACCTGCTTGCTGCTCCATCTATTTTTGTCCTTTTTTTTGTGTTTTAAGATAGTGTTGCTCTGTCTTTTTTTCTTTAGTTTAGTTGAGATGACAGCTTTCTCTGTATGGCCAGTCCTCCTGTCTCAGCCTCCCAGGTACTGGGATTACAGGTTTGTGCCACCACACTGTAGAATCCTGCCCTTTTAAACGCTGTTTCTGTGGGAATGAGTTTTGGGTTTCTTGCTGGGTATCAGGGAACTCTGTTGTCATGCTTGTGGTTGTCCTTCTTACAGGCAGCCCAGCATTCTCAGAAGCAGTCCACTGAGCTCTTCCAGTGCATGTACTTTAAAGACAAAGACTCAGAAACGGAGGAGCGCTGCATGGCCGATGGAATTATTTATTCGATTAGAACAAATGGTGTGCTTGTATTTATACCAAGGTATGTTACCTCTCGTGCAGAGACTAGTAAGAAATCGCAGTTAAACTATACAGTGTCGAACACAAATGATACATTATATATAACTTACTAAAATATTTATTTAGACTGAGGGTGTGTAGCTCAAAGGTGGAGTGCCTGCTTGCCTAACACATATAAAGTCCTGGGTTTGATCCCCAGCATCACATAAAACCAGGTCTGGTGATACATGCCTGTAAAACAAGAGGATCAGAAGTTCAAGGTTATCCGTAGCTACATAATGATTTTGATCCAACTTGTACTATATGAGTTCTTATCTCTAAAAAGAATATAAGCTTGGCATGGTGGCACATGCCTTTAATCCCAACACTCAAAAGGCAGATGCAAACAGATCTCTGAGTTCGGGGCCAGCCTGGTCTTCAAAGCAAGCTCTAGGCCAGCCACAGCTAATGGAGTGAAACTTTCTCAACAACATCTCTATATATTAACACATACAATGCTACATACATAAACTATTCATAAAATTACTGTATGTACATAGTGTAATATATAATCAGGAAATAGCAGGAGTAATTGGGAGTACACAGATATGCATGCCCATCAGTCCTAGGATCTTTCTTAGCTAGCAAAGCATTGTTTCTTATCTGCTCTGTAAAAATGTTTCAAAGGTAAACCACAGAAGAGTGCTCAGCATAGAAGATTTGCATCCTAAGAATATATTATCTCGGTTTTACCCTGGCGATGATTTAGGTTCGGCATTAAAGGTGCTGCCTATCTAAGGAATAAAGATGGCTTAGTGATCTCATGTGGCCCAGAGAACAGCGCTGAATGGATGCCAGGATCCCTACAACGATCTCAGAACAAGATCACCTCTACCACAGCTGGAGGGCAGTCTGTTACATTTCATCTGTTTGACCATGTAACAGTAAGTCTGTATATTCAGCGTTGTTTTCAATGTGAAGAAAAAAAGACACAATGTAGTAACATGTATTTCTCTGTGCTAGGTAAGAATATCTGTCCAGGTCTTGCGTTGCCACTCGGATACAATCAGGCTTGAAATAATAAGCAACAAACCATATATGACACCAAACCCAGAACTATGCCATCAGAGCTCCCTCTTGCTGAAGAGTGAGTTAGTGAAAGAAGTAACCCGGTCTGTGGAAGAAGCTCAGCTCGCCCAAGAAGTCAAAGGCAAGGTACCTCAGGAGGAGTGTCAGGAATACTGCCAAACAAAGGGAAGAAGTCTGTACTCCCTTCTGGAGGAGATAAGGGACCTTGCTCTTCTAGATGTTTCAGACAGTTATGCGTTGTGAAATACTTCCACTTCAATAAAGAGCTTTCTCATAGATATTGTACTGTCTTTTCAAACTTAAATGTTGTCACTTGATGTTCTAGCGGAAGGAGATTAAGTATCTTCACATATCCATGCATGTTCCCTTACCTCATTGAAGTAGAACTAGCTCCCTATATAAACTGGTTGTTGTTGTTTTGGTTTGGGTTTTTTTTTTTTTTAACAAGAAAAAGACATGAAAACTTTTATTTTCTTTTTTTTTAATATTTATTTATTATGTATACAATATTCTGTCTGTGTGTATGTCTGCAGACCAGAAGAGGGCACCAGACCCCATTACAGATGGTTGTGAGCCACCATGTGGTTTCTGGGAATTGAACTCAGGACCTTTGGAAGAGCAGGCAATGCTCTTAACCACTGAGCCATCTCTCCAGCCCCGAAAACTTTTATTTTCAAAAAGAGAATGTATTTTTAAATAAATCTACAACAGAGTTCAACTGTAGAAAAAATAAACTATACTTAGGGTACTGTGCTCAGCATGGCAAGCAAGCTCCCTCCCTTAGGAGGGAGCCGCACACCAGGCCACAGCTGGAAGAACCTTAACACCCCTCCAGAAACCCCACAGCAACATGCCCACAATGCTGACCAGAACCCAGGCACATCTATCTAACAGATACCCAGGGCTTCAGAACCCACATCAGCAGCCACAGACCAGGCTGACCTGGTTCCATAGAAATCTGTTGTTTACACAGGCTGCGGCAGCCACAACAAACCCAGAACCTCTCTACAGCCTGTCTGTGTCCATCAGCCTGACCCATCTACCTGGACCAGAAATATCCATAGAACCTCTGCACTGTTCCATGGCAGGCCACTCTGGGTATGGCCAGAAGTAGTAAAAATACTGTGCGGCTCTGAGTCTGGTCATCACTTCTTTCCAGTCCTGGTCACACAAAAGCCAGGACGGAGGATCCATTTGGGCAGGAACTAAGAGAGGCTGGTAGGTTTAGAGGCCAAGGCAGGAGGCTGTACCTGCTGGGATAAGTACCACATTGAACCCCTCCCTCCTACACAGATGACTCTGAGCCTCATGCAGAATGGAGAGGACCAGGAAGTCTGTCCGAGAGTTCCACTCTTTCTCAACTGAGGGTCCTCTTCTAAAAACAGTCAGTGCCCACAGCAGCTTTCGTGTGGCGAACTTCAGAGCATAAGTTGGCTTAACAGGTGTGGGCTTGCTTTGCGTGGCTGAAGAGGAAGGGGTGGGCTGTGCTCTTGCAGCCTCTGTCTCTGGCTTCTCTATGGCCACCGAGAAGCTTCTCTGTGGCTCTGCTCTGGAGCCCACCGGGCAGGACACCTTGAAGGGGAGTCACAGTGGAAGAGGCTGTCAGCTAAAGCGTACTCTATAGTAAGGGCCTGCCAGGGCCGCCGCGACAGGGCCAGGTGCTCAGGCATCGACTCCTTGTTTTTTTTGGGTTTTTGTTTGTTTGTTTGTTTGTTTGCTTGCTTTTGTTATTTTTAAAGACAGGGTCTCACTATGTAACTATGGCTGTCCTGGAACTCGTTGTGTAGACCAGGGTGGCCTTAAACTCAAAGATCCATCTGTCTCAGCCTCCCAAGTGCTGGGATTAAAGGCAGGCACCATTACTCCTGGCTATTAGAAACTGGCTTTTCAGCAGTTGACAGTAATAGGGCTGTAAAAGGCAGGTTGCTAGTTTCTTTATAGTGAATCCAAAATTATCTTGCCTCAAATCAATCTAGTTTTTTGAGACAGAGTCTCACTTGGTAGCCTTGGCTAGCCTAGAACATACTATGTAGACAAGCTAATGATTGAGATCCTCCTGCCCCTACACCCAGACTACTGTGATTAAAGGTAAGTGCCACCACACTTGGCTCAAATTGATTCTTTCAAATGAAGTTTAGTAATTTTTAGACTTATTTGGATCATAGGTTCCTCTGACATCATTTAGCCATTTTAGGTAAGACAAGTCCTATCTACCTTCCTCTTCAAAACTTCAAAAATCATGTTTGATTCACGATTTCCCAGTTGTTCTGGTACCAGACTCTAAAGTCTTGCCTCAAACTCATGTCCCACCCTCAAATTCTGCTGTGTACCTCCAGTTGCTGGGCCTCCCCAAGAGAAGTGTTCCAGACTCACCACTGGAAAGTCACTTCTCCCACCCGCCCTTCTCTGATCTAGTCAGTGAGTGTGCCTGGAAGCCTGATGAGGCCTTCCTAGGAAGCCATTGCTCCAGATATCAGTGCAATGCTCAGACCAGTCTCCATCTTCTAGCTGTTCACTGTCTCAACAATGAGCCTGTCCTCTACATTTCCATCACAGTTCCCATAAGCCCACAACCCATAGACTGTGCCCAACTTCCTGGCTTTCCAAACCATCTTTGTTACTCCCAGGATGATGTGAGGAGAGTGGGTCTCAACAAAGCTATAGTCAAAACCCTTAACCATTTCAGCAAATGTTTAAATTGTGTAACTAAATCATGATGAGAAACTCAAATACTGAGAGTTGTTTGCAAAATATTTATTTCTTTAAAAAAGACCTTAATAGTCAGTGCATATTTACATTTTAAAACATTACCCAATTTAGTGAGAAATAATTCAGTGCAAACTGGAAGCAATTTATAAAGTCAAATTTATACAGTATAGCAAAAAATAATAAATAGACTTAGTAAAATAAGTAGGAAACACAATTATAAATAGTCATTGTATTTTAAGCAGAAATCCATAGAAATTTTATGACTTAGACTTATAAAGTAGAAAACTTTACAAATAAACCCAAACGTTGCAGGATTCTGTTGTGGAAGTCTGGCTACTTGGAACATTTCTGGATTAGTTCAAGTTAAAATGGTTCCTCTGCTTCGAACTGTTCCTCTTCATTTGTATTGGCAGAAGGAACACGTGGACCATCTGCAGTATCTGTGTTTAATCCACTTGAGTCTTCTTGATTCTCACCAGTACTGCTCTCTTCAACTGTCTGTGCCCAGGATGTACTCATTAACACATCTGAGAGAAGAAGCATATCATTATTACTCATTATAAGCAACTGATCCAAACTTGATAAATACAAATCTCTCCAAAAGCTTATTTGGTAGAAACAAATCTATAATCCCCCTAATTATGATCACTAAAGTCTAAATATAAACTAGTTTTTACATGCATAAAACACACTTAAAATGCCAAGGGTTCTGGGAAAGTAGATGTAGCTCAGTTGTAGAATCAATAAAGATTAGCAAGTGTGAGGCCCTGGATTCAATTCTGGCATTCTCTCATACAAAAGTTAAGGGGCCTAAATGATACTACATTCAATTCTACAATCTTACTCAAGTATAACTTCTCATTCAAAATAAAACTAGAAAGAGATTCAAAGAAGCCAGAGGCAGGGCAGGCAAGATGACTATGGGTAAAAGTGCTTGCTGTCAAGTCTGACTGCCCCAATAGTGAAAGAAGAGAACAGACTCCCAAGTTGTCCCGACTTGTATGCTGTGGCACATGTAGCACACACACAACCACACACAAACACAATGTCAAGACAAACACAATTAGCTTTATGTCAGAGACCTATGGTAAAGAAAATTTAAGCCAAGGATGATGGCACATGCCTATTCAGCACTAAGAACCCTGTCTGGGGGAAAGAAACTTTAAAGATACCTTTTTTTCGGGGTGGTGATAGAGTTTATTTAGTGAGTTATGGAGGGGAAAGGGAAGGGGGAGGAAAGAAGAGAGAAAGAGACAGAGACACGGGGGGGGGGGGGAGGCGCGGAGGAGGCAGTAGTTACCTCTTCAGAAGAGGAACAGAAAGAACGCTAAGATACTTTAAATATTTGGTCAAATTTTAAATTATATAATAAAACAGAAAATGTTCCTAAAATCCCTATTGTCAAGTGTATTTTGAAATGGCAAGAAGCCACTGCTACCCATCATTACATTTTTGTATGATTTTTAATATTTATTATTCTTTTTCATTATGTGTAAGTATGTGCATGAGGGTACAGGACCTCTGACCTTGGGGTCAGAGTCATCAAATCTGGAACTACAGTTATAAACAGTGATTAGACACCTGATGTGGGTACTGGGAACCCAATTCTGGTACTATGGAACTGCAAGTATTCTTAACCAATGAGGCATTTCACCATCCCTTCATGATTTCTCACATTGTAAGATGAGATTTATCTTAACTGAAAATCAAGACTAGGTTACAACATTTGCTTGAGAACTGTAATATTGGATGAAACATTTTATAACATGGTATTTACTTATTACATTTTTTTTAGGTTTTTATTTTTATATGTACATGTGTCCTATAAAAAGGAAACTGGCCGGGTAGTGGCAGCGCATGCCTTTAATCCCAGCACTCAGGAGGCAGAGGCAGGTGGATCTTTGTGAGTTCGAGACTAGCCTGGTCTACAAGAGCTAGTTCCAGGACAGGCTCCAAAGCTACAGAGAAACCCTGTCTTGAAAACTCCCCCCGCCCCAAAAAAAAGAAAGAGAGAGAGAGAAAGAGAGAGAGAGAGAAACTGGATTAGAAATAGATACATTCCCAACTTTTGAGAAAAAAGGCTTTCCTTTGTAGCTCAGGCTAGCCTAAGAACTAAGTAGCACAAGATACCCTCGCTCACTCTCCCTGCTTCCGTCTAGTAAGTGCTGCTGTGTGCCACTAAATCTAGCTGATAAGCTTTAAATTTTGTTTAATTCTCAATAAATTCATACAATGTATAATTCTTTTAAGATACAGTTTTGAGGGGAACTAGAGAGAGTACCCACATGGCAGCTCACAACCACCTATAATCCCGGTCCCAGGAGATCTAACATCTGACACCTTCTTCTGGCCTTCATGGGCACAAAAAACATGTGGTACATAAACATATACGCAGGCAAGACACTCATATACATAAAAGAGTAAAGTAATAATTTTTTAAATTCAGTATTATAGCTGGAAAGATGGCTAATTAGGTAAAGAGTACTTGCTGCTCTTGCAGAGGACCTGGGTTCTAATCCCATACCCACATGGTGCTTTAACAACCATCCATCAATCTAGTTCCTGGGATCCAATGCCCTCTTCTGACCTCTGAAGGGAAAAGGAACAAAAACTGTGCAGACTGCCAGCAGCAGTGGTAGCACATGCCTTTTAATCCCAGCATTTGGGAGGCAGAGGCATATGGATCTCTGTGAGTTCGAGGCCAGCCTTGTTTACAGATCAAGTTCCGGGACAGCTAGGGCTACACTGTAAAACCTTGTCTCAAAAAACCAAAATGAACAAATAAAATAAATTAAAAATAGAAATGGAAAGTTTAAGGCAACCTTTAAAAAGTGGTAAAGAGATGATATAAGAAAACTATAAAAAGTACAACTCACAAAAATAAGACAATGTAATAAAAAGCATTTAAGTGGAGGCTCATACCTGTAATACCTTAGGAGGTAGAGGCAGATCACTGAGTGGGTAAGTGGGAAGTTACTTGTGTAAATTAGTAGGACCTAAACTCATAATTAAAATATAAGGGCTGAAGATTCAGTTCCTTGAAAGACTACTTACCTAGCTGTGTGAGACCCCGTTTACCTCCAGTGTCTACCATCCCCTAAAAAGGCATGTTAGTATCCTAGTTACCTCACAGAAAATTACTGCTAATTCTCAGTTAGTACAGAATACATTGGAATTATTATTCAAGGTCTGGCTAGATTACAGATTCGTTTAAGCCTAGCCCAGGTAACCTATAGAGATATAAAAAAAAAGGGAGGGTGTGTTGAGGATGTAGCTCAGTGGTGTAATAATGCCCGTCTAGGGCTAGAGATGGCTCACAGGTTAAGAGCACAGGCTGCTCTTCCTGAGGTCCTGAGTTCAATTCCCAGCACCCACATCTATAATGAGAGCTGGTGTCCTCTTTTGGCTTGCAAGTATTCATGTAGGCAGAACACTGTATGCATAAGTAAATAAATACTTTAAAATAATAATAATGCCCATCTAGCATGTGCAAAGTGCTGGGTTCAATTCCCAGAACTAAAATGTATTGACACCATAATAATACTTTTTCTAATTATGATCCTAAAAATAGGTGTAGTATGCTTTAAGAGAAGTCAGAGAAGAATATATTGTTGGATTTGGTATTCTAAGAGTTATCCAGAAAACTAGGATTCAAAACAGCAAACACATATACACTGACACGCTCTCTAAAATATACATAAACTTAACATCACTTTTCTATTCCTAGAGGTGTTTTATTTCAAGATAGTAAAGAAGCTAAAATTTCCTACATACCCTTGATATTATATGGTAGCTCATAAAAACCAGCATAAAATTTACCATTTTCTAGGGACTGGCTATTACTCAGCAGCTTTGCCTGCCTTCTTTCCAAGGCCAGTTGTTTATTTCTCTCAATCCTCTGCTGCTGCTCTTCTGTTAGACTTCTACTTGATTCAGAAGCCAACTTCTTGCTGTCAGATGAACTTGTCAAAAAGGAATCAAATCCAGCTGCAGTTGCATCGAGGTTATTAGTTTCTTCAACTTCATCTGTGGCAGGAAATAAAAAGTTAATACAACTGTACTATTAGAGGAGTTAGAAAGAACAGCATTAACCACAGTTTAAAGTGGCAAATGACCTAACCTTAAACAATTTGTAAGGTACAAGAATGTGGCCAGTACAGGCTGGTTCAAGGTAGTACAAGAAATATTTACAAATCACTCTTATGGTGAGCTGCAAGTTACACCAAGTGAACATAATTTGGGGAGACAGCTTGGTTGGGTGAGCATGCAAAAAGCCCTGGGTTCGATCTCCAGTGCTCGGTGAGGTGGCAAACTGCTGTAATCCCCACACTTGGAAGGAAGACAGGCTGGGGTTATCATCAGCAGTTAGTTCACAGTCAGCTTGAGAAATAGAAGACCCTGTCTCAAAAATAAAAATACATAAAGAAGTTCAAATGTGTAATTCCAGCACAAGAGACAGAGGTAGAGGCAGGCAGGGGAATGAGAAGTTGAAAAGTTCACGGTTCTGCTATTTAGCAAGTTTAAAGGTACCCTGGGCTACTTGAGACCTTTTAAATTTATTATTATTATTATTTTGATTTTTGATACAGTTTCTCTGTGTATCTTTGGCTGTCCTGAAACTAGCTCTGCAGACCAGGCTGGCCTCAAACTTAGAGATCTACCTGCTTCTGCCTCCCGAGTGCTAGGGTTAAAAGTGTGTACCACCACTGCCTGGCTTGAGATCCTGTCCTAAAAATAAAGAAAGAAAGACAAAACGGCAGGAGAATCAGTAATGAATGGGGGGGGGGGGGGGAGAATATGATTTTAACAATATAGTTGGAAATATTTAAGTCAGTTGACACAGTTTAAAGAGGGTAAAAAAATTAACTATATTGATCCAGGGGAAATCCCAGCTTTTACTTTAATGAAATAAGAATTGACTGACAATAAATCTATTAGAAATGTAAATGTCTTAGCCAGGCAGTTGTGACACACCTTTAATCCCAGCACTCAGGAGGCAAAGACATGAACTCTTTGTGAGTTCAAAACCAGCCTGGTCTACAGAGCAAGTTCCAGGACAGCCAGGACTACACAGTGAAACTTTTCCCTCAAAAAACCAAAACAATCTATAAGCAATTTCTTTGGAGGAAAAAAAATCATGTGAATTAACAAATAAAGATGCATGACACTCACATATTCAAAGTAGATAAATATAATTACAGAAAAGGAATAAAGGAAAAATATCAGTAACATTAACAAAATTTCCAGCATTTATGAATAGGCTTCAAAAAATGAAGACTAGGGCTGGGATCAATGAGTACTAATGCTTACTATGCATTAGCTCAGATCCCCAGCACTGTAGCACAGGGGTGGGAGGAAAATGGTGAGACCCTTTCTCAAAAAAATAATGTGGAGAGTCTGGGGAAGTGGCTCTGATTATTTATACATACATATGGGCAAAACACTCACAAATAAAACAAGTCTAAAATAATAATGTAGAGAATGATAGAAGACAACCAACATAGACCCCTCTGGCATGTACACATACAATTTTTTTATTTACATGTTTATGTTTATGGGTATTTTGCCTACATGACCTATATACCTCATATATGCCTGGTGCCCAAGGAAGCTAGAAGAGGGAGCTTGATTTCCTAACACTGAAACTGGAATTACAGGTGAGCTGTCACATGGGTGTTAGGTATCAAACCCAGGTCCTCTTGAAGAAAATCCAGTTAAATGCTTCTTAACCATTGTACCATCTCTCCAGGACCCTACCCCAACTCCTTTTTAAAGAAAAGAAAGAAAGAAAAAGAGGGGCTAGAAGTTTGGTGTAGTGGCTCACACCTAAATTCTAAGCAATTGGGATGCTGTGGATGGAGAATTACCACAACTCTGAGGCCAGTCTAGACTACATAATGAGTTCCAGGTCAGTCTAGGCTACAGAATGAAAAGACCTCAAGAAAAAGAAATGAACAAGAGCAGCTATGGGAGGAGGAGCTCAATAGCACTGCACTTGCTTGTCATGTGCAAGGTCCTGGTTTAATACCCAGTCCCAACCAAGAAAGAGAGGAAGAAAAAAAAGACTCATTAAGCACAATTCATGTGATTCTAATTTCTTTTTGGATGTGTGCATCTTTGTGTGTAAAACCAAAATAGGAAACATTAATCTAGCAGGGTGGTGGTAGCGCACGCCTTTAATCCCAATACTTGGGAGGCAGAGGCAGGTGGATCTCTGTGAGTTTGAGGCCAGCCTGGTCTACAAGAACTAGTTCCAGGACAGGCTCCAAAGCCACAGAGAAATCCTCTTGAAAAGCCAAAAATGAAAAAAAAAAAAAAAAGAAAAAGAAACATTAATCTAGTCCTATTTTCCACTAATTATACTATTAGCCATAAACTTTCTAAATTATATTTATCATACACAAGTGAGTGTGTATCTATGTGCATATGCACACCATGCTATGGAGGTTAAGAGGACAATTCATAGAATTGTTCTCTCCTACAATGTGTGCCCCAGAAACTGAACTCTGGTTGTCAGGATTGGTATCAAGTGCCTTCACATGCTGGAACCAACTCACCAGCACTAGCCCCAACGCCAGATTTTTGGGAGAATTATTCAATCACACTGTGCTTGCTTTAAAGTTATAGTAATATATTATTGACAAAAGTAAAAAATGTTCATTTTACAATGAGATAAAAGTATACACATTAGTAAGATGAATTATTTAAATACTCAAACATTCTGAGTGTGTGAATGTGGTATATATATGCATGTTTGTCAATATCAGGTACCTTCACTTATCACTTCCACCTTATCTTTTGAGAAAAGGTCTTTCACTGAACCTGGAGCTCAATAACTGAGTTAGATTGGCTGCCCAGTAAGCCCCACGTCCTTTCTGTCTCTACCTCCCACCCCTGGGATTATAGGGTCAAGCTACTACACCTGGCTTTTACATGGTTGCTGGGGATCCAAACTCAAGTCCTGATACTTACAAAGCAAGCACTTCACCACTGAACTATTTCCCGAGCCCCAGAAACACTTTAACTTTTACAGTTAGGATCTATTTGTTCAAGATACATAGAAGTCCTGGAACCCTAGGGCTCAAGTTTTAGGTAGAATTCTGCCTCAAATAAGCAAGCAAAAAGTTGAAAGAAAAATATAAGGATTTAGGCCTCTCCTATGTATTTTACATGTCAACATGCTTATATTTTTCTAAATGATTCATGTTAATTTATGCCTATGTACAAGTTGATACCTCTATCCCAAACCACCTTTGGCTGACCTCTACTGTTCAATAAAAACACTTGTGGCTGGGTGGTGGTAGTGAGTGCCTTTAATCCCAGAAGGCAGAGGCAGGCAGATCTCTGTGAGTTCAAGGCCAGTTTGATCTACAGAGCTCCAGGACAGCCAAGGCTACACAGAGAGCCCTGTCTCAAAAAAACAAGAACAAACAATAACAACAACAACAAAAACCACTTGTGATACTTCCTCTATGAAGCTTTTTCCCCAGTTAATATAACTATTGTCCCTTGTACCTCACTCTAAGCCCTACTCATGTCTAATTACAAGCCCCATCAAACTACTACTATTTGTCTAATGCAATCTGTATACTATAAACTTAGAGACTTAATTTTATTCTATTCATCTTTTATCCTTGAACCTTCAGCACAATAATGTAGACAGCTCAAAAAGTGCTGCTGAATAAATCAACTAACCCAGTAGTATAGGCTCTGGTATTTAGTGCCATAGTAACTCTCTTTGACATATGTCACTGCATGCCATTAATAAATACCATTATTTCCAAAAGTTTAAAATTTCAAACTATTAGTCAGGCAGTGGTGGCGCATGCCTTTAATCCCGGCACTCAGAAGGCAGAGGCAGGCGGATCTCAGTGAGTTCAAGGCCAGCCTGGTCTACAGAGCATTCAGGACAGGCTACAAAGTGACACAGAGAAACAAAAACAAAACAAAACAACCCAACTATTTAAAACCAACAGTTCTCATTCTGCCAGTCCCAACCTTTGGCAGTTGAACGACCCTTTCACAGGGGTCACATATCAGATATTCTGCATATCAGATATTTTACATTAAGATTCATAACAGCAAAAATACAGTTACAATTAAAGTAGCAATAAAAATAATTTTAAGGTTGGTAGTCACCACAACATAAGGAACTGTATTTAAGGGTCACAACATGAGAAAGGTAGAGAACCACTGATTTAATCCATAAGAGGATTCTGTATGGAATCCACTATACTCACCATATATATTACTAGTTAAAAAAAAAAAGTATAGGGGGCTGGAAAGACAGTTCAGTGATTAAGAGCACTTGCTGCTCTTGCAGCAGATGGGAGTTTGGTTCCCAGCACCTATGTTAGGTAGCTCACAACTTCCCGTACAAACCTCTTAAGCAAAGAGTGAGTACTTAAAGGAAAACTTTTGAGAGCATGTATGCAAATTCCCGCAGATTCCTGTACGCTTTGATAAATATGGGCATTGATATTGAAGAGAGAAAAAAAGAAACAATAATCTAACACCAAACTAAGACACAGCAGAGGGTCTCCATTAGGCAGAAAATCATCAAAAGCTCACACATATACACATCCACATACAGATGCACACATAATTAAAAATAAATGTTAAAAAGCTTTAAGTCGGGCAGTGGTGGTGCATATCTTCAATCCTGGCACTTGGGAGGCATAGACAGGCAGATCTCTGAGTTTAAAATCAGCCTGGTCTATAAAGCAAGTTCTAGGACAGTTAGAACTGTAACACAGAAAAACTCTGTCTGAAAACCCCCTAAAAAGTTTTTAAAATACTTATGTATGGAGCCATCGCACAGAAAATCTGATAACTATACAGACTCTGTCGGCAGGAACCAACTGTTTTGATGTATGTGACCGTCTATGGTTGCACTGTACAACTAACAAATGCAATCAATACCAGAACAGTCACGTAGGTCTTCCCAAAGTTCTATAGCCACGGATCTGATTCTTTTGAAATATTTTTTCTTTTTGAAAACAGGATCTTGCATACCCCAAGTTAGTCTCAAATTCACTATGCAGTCAAGGCTGGCCTTGAACTTCTGTGTCTCCTACTTCCATCTCCTAAATGCTAGAATTACAGACATGTGTTACCACACATAGCTCAAGAGTAAACATGTTGAATGGAATATAAAATTCTATCAACAAATTATCATACCTAATTTCCCAGAGACAATTTTTTCAATGGTTCATATGCATATGAACACTCTAGTTTGATGGGTAGTTGTACTAGCAAGAACTATAAATGATCAATGAAGTCAGCAGGTTCTCAAAACAAGCTTCACAAACTTTAGTCAATCCCTGGAACCTACATGATGGAAAAATCAACTCCAGAAGTTGTCCTAATCTACACATACATGCCATGACACTCTCCACACACATGCCATGACACATGAGCGCAAAAACAATACGCTAAAATTTTCCCTATTTCATAAATATTTTCTATAACATGTCTAATGATACAATTGTATCTTTTTTTGATTATTTATCCATCTAAGTCAGTATGTATCCCCGGCTATACTTGGAGTTCTTTATGCAAACCAGGCCTTGAACTCAGAAGGCTCTGCCTGCCTCTGCTTCCTGAGTGCTGGAATTAAAGGTGTATGCACCATCCTGCCAGGCTACAATCGTATCTTTAGGAAATAAATTTCAAGAAGGAAGGAGTCAAGGGAATATAACATGAACATGAAAGAAGTACAAAGATAAACACATAAAAAATCTCATAATGAAGCACATTCTTTTGTGGGGGAGAAGTTGAGACAGGGTCTCTCTCTATAATTTTGGTTGTCCTGGAACTATGTTGACTAGGTTGGCATTCAACTCACAAAGTTCCACCTGCCCAAGACTCCTAAGTGCTGAGGTTAAAGGCATCTACCACTATACGTGTCTGAAACGCATTCTTTTGTATGCTGACTAAAACTAATAAAAAAAGAAACAAGTATCAAATGTAACTATTACTGGGCTAAAGAGATGTCTCAGTGGGTAGGGGCACCAGCTGTCAAGCCTGAAAACCTGAGTACAATCCCTGGGATTGACAAGGTGGAAGGCTGTCCTCTGCAGTCTATCCCCACATAAATAAATAGGAGTTCATTACACTCACACTTAACTACATTCTACATTTACCAAATTCTAGACTTAACTGTAGGTACATAAACATGGGTTAAGGTCTCAGTTGTGTATATATAATACCTCCTACTTCAGTTATACCCATTTCTAAAAGCTAAATTGTGATAAAGTAAATAAACTTGTAATTACCATTATTGTTAACAAAATCTTCATGTACAATAGGGAGATCAAGTCGAATTCGTTTTAAACAGGTCTGAAAAAAAGACATTTTTCCACTTTTATCATTAAGTTAGAGATGAAACAACTATTTAAGAGTTATTCTTCAAATAATGACTATTAATTTTCCTGTCTAACAAGACATATTTCAAAAGAAAGACCCACAAATAGCAATTCAGCCTCCTTGTACTACTTAGATTGTAAATGACATTCACGATAATCACACGTACCTGAACCTCCTTTTTATTTCCCAGGTTTTCAACTCTGTCAATAAAATCTTCAAATTGCAGTTTGGGGAATAGCCTATGTGCCCAGTGCTCCATGTGTCTGATTAGCGTTTTCAAGTCTTCAGCCTGACACATAAAAATAAAAATGCTGAACAGAAGACTCAGTCTCACAGCTGACCCTGTCAGCAGATTTTAGCATTTAAAGGCAATGCCAAAGTCACTGCTGTCATATTTATAAGGCTCAGAAACTTTTAGAAAGAAACAGAAAATTCTAAAGCTTGGAAGACCACAATCTCAGAAAGTGTTAAGAACACTGAATACAGATTTTGTTTTAGACACAGATTTTTAGAAATTAGAAGGAAATATGTATGTATGTATGTATGTAAGTAAAAGAGGACTGGGAAGACAGTTCAGATGGTTAAGAGCCTGGAGAATAAGGCTGAGAACCAATGTTCAAACCCTAGCCCCACATAAAAAACATCCATGTATAGTGGCTGTACTGGATACTTATGTCAACTTGACACAAGCCAGAGTCACTGGTGAGGAGGGAGCCTCACCTGAGAAAATGTCTTAAGAAGATCAGGCTTGTGGGGTATTTTCTTAATTAGTAACTGATGTGAGAGGGCGGTACCATCCCTGGGCAGGAGGTACTAGGTTCTGTTAAAAAAAAAAAAAAAAAAGAAAGAAAAAGAAAAAAAGAGGGGCTGGAGAGATGGCTCAGAGGTTAAGAGCACTGACTGCTCTTCCGGAGGTCCTGAGTTCAATTCCCAGCAACCACATGGTGGCTCACAGCCATCTGTAATGAGATCTGGTGCCCTCTTCTGGCCTGCAGGGACACATGGAGGCTGAACACTGTGTACATAATAAATCAATAAATCAATCAATCTTTAAAAAAAAAAGGCAGTGTGGCAGATGCCATGGCTCTCCTCTCTCGGATGCTGGTTAGACCCATGCCGGTAAAGTCACAGTCAAGTGAGTCAAGTGGCGATACACTTAATGGAGATGGGTTAAACAAAAAGCTAAGAGGTTAGAACTAATGTGTCAGGCAGTGTTTAAATGAATACAATTTGTGTGTTGTTATTTCGGGATATAAGCTAGCCATGCGGCAGGTCACTGCCCGCCGCTCCCTCTTACTATAGAGGCTGACCTCTGGCAACAACACACACATGCACATCCACACCCACCGAGGAGAAACAGCAGTACAAAATTAGAACAAAGCTGCCACGCATGGTGAAACACAGCTTTGATGCAAGCACTGGGAAGAAACACAGCTTTGATGCAAGCACTGGGAAGGCAGAGGTGGGCAGATCTGAGTTCAAAGCCAGCCTGGTCTATACAGCGAGTGCCAGGACAGTCAGGCTGTTACACAGAGAAACTCTGTCTTGAAAAACCTAAAACAAAATATCCTATCTCAAAAACAAACAAACAACAAAAGATCTTTAGCAACGATAAAATGTCTCAAAAAAAAAAAAAAAGTTATTGGTGCTCAGTGGTTTAGAGCAGAAGACCCATAGGAGATCACAATCATCCATACCTCTTTCAAGTCCAGATCTTATGCTGTCTTCTGACCTCTACTAGCACTGGAAACACACAGAACACAAAAATACATGCAGATAAAACCTTCATAAACATAAAAAATAAGAATTAAATTTTTTTTTCAAAAAATCAAGTTCAAGGAATTGAGAGATGGCTCGATGACTGATTGAAAGATATTAAGAAGCCAGGCATGGTGGTGTACCACTTTTCGTCAAGCAGATCTTGCAGGGCACAGTGGGGCAGGTCTTTAATCCCAGCACTCGGGAGGCAGAGACAGCCAGATCTACTTCCAGAACAGCCAGAGTTGTTACAAACCCTTCCCAGAAAAACCAAAAATCAAAAAACAAAAAAACAAAGCAGATCTCTGTTAAGTTCAAGGTCAGTCAAGTCTATAGAGCAAACTCCAGAAGACAAGGCTACATAGTGAATAGAGATACTGTCTCAAAAAAAAAAAAAAGCAAAATAAATAAATAAATAAAAATAAAAAACACATACTCCTCTTCCAGAGGAGCAAGTTCAGTTCCCAACATTCAAATCAGAAACCTTGAAATTGCTTCTAATTCTGACTCCAGGGAATCAAACACCTTCTCTTTTCCTTGGGCCTCTGAAGGCTCATGAACCCACACATAAGCACACGTGCACACACACATATATACATACACACAATATTTAAGTTCAATATTAAAACAAATAAAAAAAGCACTAGACATTGGAGTTGGGCGGTGGTGGTGCACATCTTTAACCCCAGCACTCAGGAGGCAGAGGGAGGCAGATCTCTGTGAGTTTGAGGCCAGCCTGGTCTACAAGAGCTAGTTCCAGGACAGACTCCAAACTACAGAGAAACCTGTCTCAAAAATACCAACCAAACAACCAAACAAAAAAGAACTAGACACTGTTGAGTGTCTTAGAGACACATGATCAACAAAAGCAGTGTTAATTATCATGAAGCTTAAAATGATTCTTTAAGAGAAGGCAAAGTAAATTTTATTCTTGTTAACTATAAGGTACAAATGTGGGCTTAAGAGACTCAGACTAAAGTCATGTTAAATATGGGGGCAAAAAAAAAAAAGAGATACACAACATGGTTCTTTTAATTCTTCCAAGTACCCTCTCTATTTCACTACTATTTCTCAGGGGTTATCACAGATTAACAACAGTATCTGTGATATATGCATCATAGTAGACCCAGTTTCACTTATTTTTAAAAACATAAAAGCTCTAAAATAAAACAGGTGTGATGACATAAGCCTTTAATCCCACCACTTAGAAGGCAGAGGCAAGCAGATCTCTATGAACTCAAGGCTGGTTATTGGTCACTCTTCTATTGCTATTAAGAGGCACCAATACCAAGTTACTCACTCTAAATCAAAAAAAAAAAAAAATTAAGGGGTTGGAGAGATGGCTCAGCAGTTAAGAGTACTTACTGGTTACTCTTCCAGAGGTCCTGAGTTCAATTCCCAGCAACCACATGGTGGCTCACACCCATCCATAATGAGATCTGGTGCCCTTTTCAGGCATGCAAACAGAACACTGTGTACATAGTAAATAAATCTTTCTTTTTTTTTAAAGCATTTAAATGGGATCTCGTTTACAATTTCAAAGGTTTAGTCTATTATCATCATGGCAGGGAGCATGTTGGCATGCAGGCAGGCACTAGTGCAGAGAAGGGACCTAACTTAACATCAGTACAGCCATGACAGACTGCAGGCTAGCAATATGGGACCAGGCCTCACCCTTACAATGGTCTGGCATCCAGGGACCAATCAGAATTCAGACAAAAACCAGACGCTGCAGAACATTAAGGATAGCTTACATAACTTGTATATAGGTTGCTAATTTCTTGTTAGACAAGATTCCTGTTGCCCTACTCCTGCCAGTCAGGAGTTAAAACCCTATGTGAATGTGGAATTTCCCTAAGCCCCCATCCTTTCCTTCTTAATAACCCCGCTACAGCTGAGCTCGAGGATCTCTGATCCACCTGCTGTGCTGGAACCTATGATGAGTGCAAGCTGGAGCTTGCAATAAAGGCTCTTTGCTTTTGTACATGAACTCAGACTCCTGGTGGTCTGTGGGGCTCATGACAAAGGAATAAACATTAGCAGCTAAGAGCTACATCTTCATCCACAGGCAGAGAGAGCAGGACTGAGCCTTGCATGGGCTTTTGAAACCTCAAAGCCCAAACCCAGGGACAACAATCTGCTAATCCTTTTAAATAGTGCCACTCCCCAATGACTTAAACTTTTAAATATATGAGGGGGTGGCATTCTTACACAAATCACCATAGCTAATCAGGGCTAGATAGTAATACTCTGTCTCAAATTAAAATAAAATACATAAGTAAAAGTCTAAAATAAAAACCAGGGCCGGAATGGACTCCAGGAGTACTGTTCAGCACAAGTTCAAGTACTTGCCCTGGACCCAATGTCCAGTACTAAGAAAGACAAATCAAATGTTTCTTACCTCATGACCTTTCCCCCTGAATTTTGTCTTATCAAACATATGCCTTAAGGCTGGAAGCCCTCTCTCTGAAGTTAATCTGTGAAAACAAATATATTTGGAATTTCAGATTTTCTAGTCATGACAAAATCAAGACCACAAGAAAAAATATTTCCTCCCCAATTGGAAAAAAAAAAGAAAATGTTTACAGGGGAAAATGCTTACAAACTATCTGATTTCCAAATCGTTAAACCAAAGCTTACAACAGTTGAAGAAAAACACTGTGTGAAAAACTTTAAATGTATGAGAGTAAATGTCCATACCTAGTAGCATCTAGCTTGGGTAGATTCCTTTTAACTGTTCTCTTTGGTGGTACAGGAACAGGTGCTCCACTCCCTGATTCTAATGAAACAGATAGAAATTTAGTGTTTAAAAATTTAAGGCCTGGGCCCTCAAGATGAATCAGTGGGTAAAGGCATTGGCCACCAAGCCTGCTTGACTACTTATGCTCAGTTCCCCCATACCCACATCTTGGATGGAACAACTGGCTCCTGCAAGTTGTCCTCTGACCCATATGCCCACAAATATTCAGATACACACAAATAAATAAATGTTATAATTTTTTAAAATTCAAGTCTTATTTACAAAATATATCAGGGCTGGAGATGGCTCAGTAGCTAAGAGCACTGATTACTCTTCCAGAAGAGCTGGGTTCAATTCCTAGCACCCATATGGCAGCTAACAGTCTGTAACTCCAAGATCTGCCATCCCCACACAGACATACATGCAGGCAAAACACCGATAATTTCTAAATTAACCTGCTATCATTTCTAAATTAATCTGCTAAAGTAGGATTGTGAGAACAAGGTTAGCCTGAAATATACTATGAAACCTTGTCTTAAAAACCAACAAAAAATGGGCTGGAGATGGCTCAGGTATTAATAGCACTGGCTTGGTGCGGGAGAATTGTCTGTATTCTATCAATCATGTTTTAAATAAACGCTGATTGGCCAGGCAGGAGGTCTAGGCGGAAATGATGCAAGGAGAGCAGGAGAATTCTGGGGAGGAGGAGGTTGATTCCTCCCACTCCTGCCCAGACCACCAAAGCAGCAGGATGTGATCTGTCCCAGCTGAAAAAGGTGCTGAGCCACATGGCTAACATAGATCAGAATAATGGGTTAATATAAGCTACAAGAGCTAATAAGTAGTCTGAGATAATGGGCCAATCAGCTTTATAACTTATGGACTCCTCTGTGTGATTTTCTCTGGGACTAAACAGCTGGGGGAGCGGGCAGGACAGAAAACACAAACAAGCCTGGCCCCTCATGTTACACTGGCTGCTCTTCCAGAGGATCCTAGTTCAATTCCCAGTACCCACATGGCAGCTTACAACTGTTTTTAACTCCAGTTCCAGGGGATCTGACACCTTCACACCGATGGGCATAAAATAAAGTAAAATAAATTATAGAATTTAAAACCAACAAACAAACCAGGCAGTGATGACACACGCCTTTAATCCCTGTACTAGAGAGGCAGAGGCAGGCGGATCTCTGAGTTTGTGGCCAGTTTGGTCTATGGAGAAAGTTCTACAATAGCCAGGGATATAGGGAGAAATCCTGTCTCAAAAAAACAAAAACCTGGGCTGGAGAGATGATGATTCAGTGGTTAAGAGCACTGGCTGCTCTTCCAGAGGTCCTGAGTTCAATTCCCAGCAACCATATGGTGGCTCACAACCATCTGTAATGAGATCTGGCACCCTCTTCTGGCGTGCGGGCATATATGCAGGCAGAATGTTATTATTATACATTATAAATAAATAAATCTTTAAAAAAAAAGAAAAAACAAAACAAAAACCAAACCAAAGAAGCAAATTCAAGGGACATTTGTGAAATTATCAATACAGACCTTCACCAGGTTCAGCTTCTGCAGGATCTCTCTCAGGAGAGGCTGGAGGTGGGAAGGGAGGAAAAGTTTCATCTTCTACATGATCATAATCTGGTATTTCAAACAAGTCATTCTCTTCTTGCTCTAACATCTTTTCCTCCAGAAGAAAAAAAAAACAAGCTATTTTTATCCATCCAAAACAGCCTTTCTAACTATCACACAATCTAATTTCATTCACAATGAAAGCCATGTTTCAATCACTTAATCCACATTTCAAATTCATCCAAAATAAAAGTAGAGAAGACAGTAAGTATGAAGGAAAACGACTAGTCAGAACCAAGTTGTAATGTAGTCCCTACAAGTAAACAACTATATGTTTTTCAACATTGATATACATGAGTGTTTTGCCTGCTTGTGTGCCTGTGGAGATCAGAAGACATCAGACCTTTAGGAATTCAAGTTTTAGTTGGAAATATCTATCTATCTATCTATCTATCTATCTATCTATCTATCTATCTATCTAT